ACCCAAAGGTTGACAAAAGTTGCACTTGTTAGTTAAATACTGAATCTCGTGTCGCGTCTCTGATCCGCAGCAGCATAGGATTTCTGATTTTTGAGAAATAGCTGGATACCTCCTCTGGTGTCCTGCTGTGCAGTTCTGCTAACTGGCTCCTATCCCATCGGCCACGGGCTCAGTATATCCCGGTTCTTTGTCAGAATCGAGTTCACTTAGCTCGAAAATCTGCGGAAAGTCCGTTGAATTCGCAGAACTAAGGAATCTAGTGTTCGGCGTACCGGATTCGGCCGTAGTTCTGGTGCTTAGGTCCCATGTTCGTAACCCAGAGCCCCAACGCATCCTCGCAGTATACCCAGAGATCTCATCCAACACATTCTCTCTCTCTCTCTCTCTCTCTCTCTCTCTCTCTCTCTCTCTCTCTCTCTCTCTCTCTCTCTATCTATCTATCTATCTATCTATCTATCTATCTATCTCTCTCTCAAAACTCTTCTACCTCCATGCCAGTGGGATGGAGGTATTTCCAAATCCCGATGTGATCCCTTTCTTCAAACTTCTGAATTGCTTTTTCGATTTCTGTTTCCGGATAGGTCCTTCGACGCAATTCTCTCGTGAGACAAAGTAATGACAGGGTCCTCATATCCGCGTCGTTCGCGCATCTCACGATACGATGCAGGTAGCTATTGATCATCGATAGCTTTGTCTGCTTATCACTGTAGGATCCAAAGTCCTGCATGCTCTAGAAGGCCAGCGGTCTGCCATCTGCCAGGCAGGTCTGATTCTTTATCTGGAGAACATAAGAGATCTTCGGTCCGTCCTGGTCAATAAAGATTCTTCATTGTAGAAAGGATAGAGTACCATCGTCTTCATCCATTCTCTCAAGAGTGAGATCTGGTGGATAGCTGCTCTGCAGCTTCTTCAAGATATCCCTTGCTTGACAGGATGAGTCGATCTTTTGCCTCAGGTATCGTACAAAAAAAACCACGTCATCCATCAAGCTGAACCCAAGGATCTTCTTCCTATCAGTCCCCAGACTAAGTACGAAATGGGCTTCACTCCTGGCACGTAGGATACATGCGAGGGCTGGACTAGTGTGTCCCCCCATCGATATCCCTTTCACCTGTTGGATCAGTTCTCCCTCCGCTAGGCTGAATGAGTGGTTGAGCTCATACGTAACCTAGTCACGCACGTGGTCAAATTTTACAGACCAATGCCCATCTTTAGCCTGGCTACCCATTGTCGGTTTCTTCCCTCGACAGTTGACATTCACCCTGTCAATACTCTTTTGATACCATAACCCTAATTAGCCAGTCCACTGACTCCTAGATCGTTGTGTGTGACAGCTCCGCGAACATGTTTTTTATGTCGAAAGTCACAGTTATCACTCCTTCCCTCACGTTCAGACCATCCTTCCATGTCATCAGACGTCGTATCGCTTCTTCTGAAGACGAGACGTTAAAGTGTACACGTTTTGCCACGTGTCCCAGCATGCATTAAAGCAATTTCGCTACCTTCTTTGCACCCTCTTTTATCGGTGAGTTCCAAGCCGACGCAATTGGTCGCCATCGCCCGGGATTCTCGTTCTTCGGTATAACGTACACATCCTCCAGCCGACCTTTCTTCCTCCAGGACCCCATCTTCTTCAGGCCCAAGTCGTCAAATCCTTTCGTACTCAGAGCCAGTGCCGCATCCGCCATCATGCGACTCATCTCGAAATTGCTGCCATGCCAGAATGTGTCCCGGAGTGCTCGCGCATAAACCATCGAACATACAATGTATGTCACCCCCGGGTTCCAATCCATAGGCATGCGTACCAGGCCCTTCAGATGCCGTTTTCATTCTCGTAGCGTCTGATAGCAGTTATCCTCTCCCTTCTCCTTCTTATCTACACACGATTCTACTTCACTAAATCGTACGGTAAGGCATTTCCCGGTACACCCGAAAATCTGACTTAGGTCATCTAAGCATGCAACCATAATCCCCCGTCTTACTTCCTTCGTCTGTTGTGGAGGGATATTCTTTGCATTCAGCAGGAAATTTGGGGCATTGAGATCAGACAGCCTACAACGTACATGTCCTTCCGTGAGAGGGAAGGGGCTACCTGCCCATGCGCAGATGATACCATTCGAGCGTGAATACTCTCGATGGTTGTGAAGCACGTCACCCACTGTCTGTTTCTTCGCCCACACAATGCGCACGTGTTTTCGTACAATCGTAGTGATTTGTTCACTCAGACCCAAATCTCCAATCTTAGCTTTTGCCAGGCTGCATACTCTCTTCCTATCCACCCTATCATCAAAGGGGATCTTAATCACCAGTCTCTTCCTCAAATTAAATCCTAACTTCTCATTCAGAATCCTTGAGAGAATACAACACATTTTCTGCCTACTCCTCTTTTCAAATCCTCTAGTCCCCTGGTACAATAGTGTTAACTCGCTGACCTCCTTCTTCCACAAAAGTTTCCTTCGCCATGGCCAAGTTAGTAGTAGTAGGAGTTCACATCTGATCTTAGCAGGGAAGGTAGCCATCTCCGCGGGGTCTTTGATTATCAGCCATCCTCCCTTCTCGTTCAGTTTCTTTCACTCTTTTAACATGAACGCGACATCTTGCATCTTAAGTATTGTCATACCAAACTTGCGCTTGAGTATCTTCCAATCCTCGCACCAAATGTCTCCGCTGCACTTGATACGTAGATCCTTCTTCCCTCCTCGTATCATATATTCCAGGTGGTCTGCCAGTCTGGTAGTCTTCTTTCTCGCCTCGTCTTCAAACCTCATAATACTTTCCTTCCTTTCTTGCGCACATGGTCACCCTTTCCTTTCTCGCTTACCCTTCCTCTTCTTTCGACGCCTCGGACGTGTCATTCTCTTCACTTGGATGTTCAACGTCGGCGACCATCTCCGAATAAGACAATGCTCAATCCTTACTAGGTCCGATTCATTTTCGGTTGAAGTGAGCGGTATGGCTACATATTCCTCCGTTCCTACTTTCCTTAGCCATTTGTATAGTGATTGGCTCTTACTCTCTTTACCTCTACTACAGGTAGTACGCTCCTTCCATCTATAGCTAAGATCGTGACTAGTGTGTCCTGTATATACTTTTCGACATTTCGCCGAAATCAGCACATATACACACTTTGTGGGATTAACCCACTCGATCTTATCGTCTTCCCACAAATCCCGGAATTTTGCAGCCCATGATTGTTCCCCAAGTATAGTTAGGATCACTATTGTGCATCTCATTGCAACATTTATGAGGTCACGTGTCATTTTCTCCCTAGTCAGCTTTCTGAGTTTAACTACGGAGCTGCGTAGCATTCCGTTCGCGTTCGGCCGGCGAACGTGAACGCATATGACCGAGCGCGAACGCGTCCGAAAATCGACCGAACGCGAACGTTTTTTTTTTTTTTTTTTTTTTTTTTTT